TAGTAGTAGTAGTAGTAGTAGTAGTAGTAGTAGTAGTAGTAGTAGTAATGTTGTAGTAGTGTACTAGTGGTAGTAGTAGTAGTAGCAGTAGTAGTAGTAGTAGTAATAGTAGTAGTAACTGTAGTAACTGTAGTAACTGTAGTATGAGTAGCGCGTAAAATTGACCTGGTTGTGGGCTCGGATGAACTGGGGGGGATTTCTGGTAGAAATCAGCAACCAATACTATTTTTAATTTGGGCAATTTCCGGCAGCTTCGTCTCCTCGGATTAACTAGGGGGGATATATTTATCTTAACTTTACATTACAGGCCAACTCAGTAGGGAAACTATTAGAAAGAAAGGGCGTCGCTCCTAGTAACAAGGGCATCGCTACTAGTAACACGGGCATCGCTACTAGTAACAAGGGCATTACTACTAGCAGCAAGAAGCGACAACAACTCAGGAGATTCCGATGCGAAACCTCCCTTCAACGTCCTCAGCCGGGAATGCCCAGCCTCCACGAGCGGCAGGCCGGCCTGGCGGAGTTGCTGGGCACCTTCGTGCTGGGCTACACAGTGCTGGCCGTCACGATGGAGGTGGGGGTGGGAGGTTGAGTGGACGGTGTGGAGAACTGGCAGAACTGGGGAATGTATGTGATGTTTGGGTGGTTGAACTGAAGGATGAGGTGGTGGTGGTGGTGGTGATGTTTTGGTTGGGTGAATCCATTTTCTCCAGCAAGACATAACGCGCGAAGAGGTAGGACGTGTCCTTTTATTCCTTTTTTCGGAGTGGCGGACGTAATGCCCGGGTAGAGCAGCGGAAGAAGCGATGCCCAACCTTTCCATGAACATCCCTTCCTGCAGGGCCAAGGTGTGATCATGCATGATCTTTAATACTGGATCACAAGGCATCAACCGTTGGATTGGTAAAGGCTTGCACCCCGAAGCAGTTTGTTCAGTGGGTTCGCTTTGACCCTCAACTTGGGAATTCAGCATGAAGTGCCTTGCGAAGGCCAATTGGGCGGAGGAAATGATGGCAGCGACCCCGGGTTCGGCCACGGGGCGAGCGCGTGCGCGCGTGCGTGAGCGCCCGCTCGCACTCGTGCCCCAATGCCCCAGGGCTACTGCAAGGAGGTGGGTGGATTGGTGATCTCCTTGGCGGTGCTGGCCGGTGGCTTCGCGGTCGGATCCGTCTCGGGAGGCATGCTGGAGTTGGGGGGTTGGTATACTTGATTTTTTTCCCGAAAGCATTGCGAAGGGTTCTTCCGGAAAGTCCTTTGAACACTGACACTTCGACACTTACACTTCGACACTCACACTGACACACTTACACTTCGACACTCACACTGACACACACACACACACTGGAAGAGCGAAAGCATCCAAGTGTGAAGTATGCCAGGGTCAAAGTATGCAAGTGTGAGTATGCAAGCATGCAATGACTATGCAAGGGCAAGTGTGAGTATGGTAAAGATGGAAAACTAGCACGGGAGATGTCCTAATGAAAAAACATTTCCCCACTTCATAAATTCTCTCTTAAAGGCGGAGGGTGGGACGAACAGCGTCAACCGAAAGTGCAACCCTCTGCGGAGATCGTGCGTGTGGAGTGCGCGAAATGCAGGCGAGAGTGCGATTTGTCCGGTCCGCGCGCAACCCTCTGCGGAGATCGTGCGTGTCGAGTGCGCGAAATGCAGGCGAGAGTGCGATTTGTCCGGTGCGCGCGCAACCCTCTGCGGAGATCGTGCGTGTCGAGTGCGCGAAA